TTGCTCAATGTACCACTGAATAATGTGTGTTCTGAAACGATCGTCATGGTGCATCATACAGCCATAGCACCTCATTCAAGTCAAACCATTGCTGAACAGTTTCAGGCGAACTATGCTTGTGTTTTCCAACCTGAATTTGGACATTGTAGCAAGATGCAGGCAAATCTTACTCTGTTGCCTGGTGCTACACCAGTGTTTCGACCCAGGCGCCCGGTCCCGTATGCATCACAAGTACTTGTTGAACATGAGTTTGATCGATTGCAGCAAATTGGCGTGTTACAGCAAATAAATTTATCACCATGGGCTACCCCAATCGTCGTGATTAAGAAGTCGAACGGTTCTATTCACTTGTGTGTAGATTTTTCAACTGGTCTGAATGATGCATTGCAACCCCATCAGTATCCACTCCCACTTCCTGACGACCTGTTCGCGAAACTGAATGCTGGTAAATATTTTGCGACCTTGGATCTGGCGGATGCTTATTTGCACTGGAAGTTGGACCTGAAAGCTACTCACGATCAACAACCATCGTGGTCTGTAGCAATACAATCATCTGCCATTTGGAGTTAAAACCGCACCCGCAATTTTTAAACAATTCATCGATGCCATGTTGACTGGAGTAACTGGAGCTGCAGCTTATCTGGATGACATCATCATAATGGGCAACACACATGAGGAATTATTTCAACGACTGAATGACGTAATCATGCGAATCAAAAACTGGATTCCGTTTACGCGCAGACAAATGCAAATTTTTCTTGAAATCCATGAAGTTCCTGGGATTCGTTATTAATGAACGCGGACGACATCCCGACCCCCAAAAACATTGAGGTACTAGATCGACTGCCTACACCAACGAATATCACAACTCTGAGATCGTTCCTCGGAATGGTGTGTCATTATAGCGAGTTTCTGCCAGCTATTCATCGTCTACGCCAACCCTTGAGTCATCTGCTGATGAAAGATGTCGAATGGAAATGGTCCAGGCAGTGTCAACAGGCATTACAGCAATCAAGATCTCTGCTGAAATCGACCTATTGCTTACTCATTACAATCCGAATCTGGATATCCTCCTGGCTACAGACGCTTCGAGCTATGGAATTGGTGCAGTCATTTCACACCGCTTTCCAAGTGGTTCATAAAAGGCTGTGGAGCATGCGGCACGAGCCCTGACCACCTCTGAGAAGAACTACAGCCAAATCGAGAAAGAAGCTCTCGCTATTATCTTTGCTGTTCAGAAATTCCACAAAATGATTTATGGTCGGCGTTCCACCTTAGTGACGGATCACAAACCCTTACTCGCTATCTTTGGATCCAAAAAGGGTATTCCGGCGTACACGGCCAGTCGACTTCAGAGATGGACCACCTTGCTCTTGGGATACGATTTCAACATGAGGGATTCGTCAACTGACTCTATTGAACAAGCGGACTGCCTGTCCAGATTAATCGATACTAGTCGCGGTGAGCCTGAGGATGCCGTTATTGCTTCAAACACAACCGACACGGATATCAGCCATATGATACGCGATGCCGTGAATACCTTACCCGTAAACGCAAGAATGGTTCAGCAAGCCACGAACCAAGACGCATTGCTACAGGAAGTATTGACTTATACGAGACAAGACTGGCCAAAGCAATACCCTGACGAGTCCCTTGTACACTTTTTCACGCTACGCGACGCTTTGTCCGAAGTCGATGCCTGTCTGTTTTTCGCGGATCGCCTTGTCATTCTAGAAGTACTCATGAAACGCGTGCTCAGGAATCGCCCGCATGAAAGCACGTGCGCACAGTTACGTGTTTTGGCCCATGATGGATAGTCAAATAGAAGACATTGGACGATTCTGTTTTAAATGCTGCAGTGTTTCCAAGTTACCGGTGCGGACAAAATTGCAATCGTGACCGAATCCCGAATCACCCTGGTCGCGGATACATGTAGATTTTGTAGGACCAGTTGAGGGGACTTACTTTCTCATACTTGTTGACGCATATAGTGTGGCCTGAAGTTATCGTGATGCGAAACACATCCGCAAACACCACGATTCTTGCGGTGAAGCGTGTTTTCAATCAGTACCATCTGCCGGAAACAATCGTATCGGATAACGGATGACAGTTCACGTCCTATCAATTCGCTGAGTTTTTCACACGCAGTAGATTCCAACACATGAGGACTGCACCGGATCATCCCCAATCAAATTGGCAAGCAGAAAGATATGTCGATACCCTAAAACGTGCATTGTTATAATCGAAGGACGAGTGAACGCTAGATGAAAAATTGGAAAGATTCTTGTTGAATTATCGAGTAACTCCGAATCCCAATGTACCAGATGGGAAGTCACCCGCTGAAGCCCTCATGCGTCGACGACTGAGAACCACCCTAGATCTGATGTCTCCAAAACGCCCATCGATACGTCGTACGAATTTGGATATGGAAGCCCAGTACAACAAACGGTACGGAACATGGCGCAGAAATTTCAGTGTTGGAAGCACAGTGTTTGCTGCCTCTTATCGAGGGCGTCGAATAAGCTGGATCTCAGATCAATTCGTGAGACGTGGCAAAGTACTGTACGATGTTCGCGTTGGTAGGCATGTATGGGTTCGCCATGCCAACCAACTGCGACCGCGATTTGCAAGGATCCCAGAGACACGCGACCCAAAAGAATTTGATTTTAATGAATTGCTATGCACTTTGCACCCAAGCTCCTCGACCGGACAGGATACGCGACTCGTGGGACGAACTGAAACTGAACACCGACTAAGGCCAAAGCGGCTAAGAAGATGTGTGCAACCCTTGCAGGTCGATTCCCGAAATAAGACTTATAAAACCACCGGTCTAACTGTTTCAACAAGGGGGAGGTGGTAGGTCTCGAACGACCTGCTTCGAGGAAAATTGCGCTGGATGAGAATCAAGTCGACTTGGCGCCACTGATTCAGTCCAAGTCTTGTAACTTGCATGGAAAAGCAGAATTTCACACAGACCAAAGTCAAATGCGCACAGAAACGAAACAACTTGACTTGTTCGGGAAGGTAAGTGCGCGATTTCCCACAAGGAACCGTGTGCTTTGCATTAGAACAGTCTCGATTACAAGCAGCCTAGTGTTTTTTGTGTTATGGAACATTTGTTACTATCGCTTGTTTCACCCCACTCACACTTCCCTTGTTTCTTTGAGACTTATAATATCAAACGAGCACACATCCGTGATTTGAGCTGTATCGGTGTGTTTTCATCCCACTTCGATCTGTTCTGTGTTTGCCAATATACTACTCGTCCGGTGGTTTGTCTTTTGAATCGCTTGGCGCAATCTAAGAAGCCGCTAATTTGAACCCCTGAGGGCACAACAATCATCAGTGCGGCTTCAGGGGCCTGGTTCGCAGTGCCTCGTTAGCAACTTTCTTGTCCAACTGCTTATTGTTCGATTTCTTCTTTGAATGCGAGGCTTCAGTGAACTCAGATGCTTGCCGGCTTTTGCCCCTTCCGAGGATGCTGGTGCGCTCCAGGGCGAGTTGGTGCTTCTCGGCATCCATGTGCACTGACATGAGGGAGCTCTATTCGTGGCGACGATTGGTTAGCCTGTGTTCGTGTCGCCTTGTTCCAGGCTTTCGTCCAATCTGTACCACGTAGTATTTGTCGCAGTTCCCGTATCAAATGATGATGAGGCCCCTTTTGCGATTCTAACGTATTCCATGCGGTCGAATCTGGGGGAATATGATCAGCAAGTTCAATAAAACCGTCATCTACCCCAGAACGAAACGTTTTTTTGAAGCACATATTGATATATTCGAATATTCTCTTTGCTGCATTACAGCAGGAAGATCCACCATATTTCTGGAGGGTGATCGAATATTTTTCCCATAAATCCAGGAGTATAAGTATCTTGTCGAATAAACGACGTCCAAGACCAATTTGCCAACCTACGCTGTGTTTTCTTAATCTTCCATAGGAATTAGATTTCTCTGCGTCGGATCCGAAGTTCTCTCCGTTCTACTTTTAATGAGGCTGGACTGGTAATGTGAACAGCGTGTACGTGAAGATCCAGCTGGGTTTCCCTCCAATCGGTGCGGTGTTGGTTACTTCATTGTGATCTGTCATCTATTGGAGCGTTGTCAAATTTCCTGTCCATCAATAGCGTTCCTATTTCCATGTTGCTTATCTCATCACAGATTACCTAATGGCGTACATTCAGGAAACCTTTACCCGGATACACAGTCAGTGCCGAATGGGTAGCGCTACATCACAGCTGGTCACTCGGTCGTTTTCGTCCTACATAGCCAATTCTTCTTAATCACTGTCGAGTAAGAATGTGGTCACAGCATCTGGTCCGACGTATGATCAATGAAATATGTGTGCTGACGAATCCGGAAATGTCGGGTTGGTCTACTAGTGTTTCTCCGGACGTGGACGGCCATCTATTAGTCCAGTTGTCATAAACCCAAAACTTAACTTAAATGTTACGGACAGTCGAATCATCTCCATGTCACCAATTGTTCGGACCTAATTCGTATATAGCATGTCGATACCGAGTGGCCCCCGAAGGATCCTAGGGAAATGTCATCTAAGGTTGATCATTGCGTCACAGAGACGCGCATGATATCGCACCGCATTAAAATCCACGCTTGTTGCAGCGGATATCATACCTGCGTTAGTGATTTTTCGCATTTTTTTGTCTCAGCTGCTTATAATCGCTTAAGGAGCTGCATCAGTACCTAGCCCCTAAAACTGTTGTTTGAAGTGACAAATAGCTTTATATTATTGGAATCAAATTAAGAATATCGGAAATCCAACAACTAGACTTAGTCCGTGAAAATGGTTCCAATTATGCTGGCAATAAAGCCACCTCGTAAAATGATCATAGTTTCTACGTATTCCAACAACAGTCTCCATCATCTTTATGTGAAATAAGTCAAAACCTTCCTGAGTGTATGATAATGAGAAATGAATTTGACGATTTCCCTTAATGTGCCTTTTCGACTGCACACGCTAACACTTCTCTCCTTGCTTCTAGCTTGGTCGTACACGCTCTTCGAGTCGAACGGATTTAAAGACTTCAAATACAATCACAGCCAAGCTAGAGACAGTGCATCCGAATGATCTAAACGCTATCGTCCATTTGATGCAGCGAGTTTGTTCGGAACCACATTGTCAGCGTATAGCTGACGCGAACACCGGAAGCGCTGATGACTCCGTTGCCCGCCCTACAGGAACCAAGTGTCACGAGTGCCGTAGAGTGTATTGTGACCGTCACCGGCCTGTCGGCATGCACGCTGCTTGTATGGCTGCGGCAACTGAACCCATCGTCACTACCGGGGCCTCAATCGCGTGTGGCATAGATGTTGATGAGAAGAAGTCCATTTTAAAGGCGGCAATACGTGAACGGAGGGCTGCGCTAATGGAGCGGCGGCAGCGCCTTTAGCTCCGCTTCGTCTATTATACCAATCATCATCGATCTAGCTTATATCCAACAATTTATATCGCCTCACCTATTTCGCTGTGATACGCTCCCCTTTACCTTTTACATTAATTTATTTTTAATTTTTCCCTACATATCTGCGGTATTCAATTTTGCTGCTTTTCTCGCTATGTTTGTGTGCAAAATGATGCCTGTTTGTGCCTATACTTTTCTATCAGTAGCACTTTGTTGATACAAATTATGTTCTCAGGAGTATATTTGAATGGGTTTCTATAGTTTGACTTTGGTTGCCAGAATTCAAGCCACCGGGTAAAGAGTGTATTGGTGAATCGAACCGAACGAGCCGAAGCGTGTAGAAAACACACCAATATCGTACAAATTACACTTGTACACGCGCTTGATTTTACAGTCCTCTAAGAATTAAGCGGTGTGTGTATTGTGCAACCAACCACAGGAACAATTGTTCTGTAACATGATTAAACACACTGGTCCAATTACAGTTAGAGGTTGTTCTGATGCAAATCACACAATTGCTTGTGGAAAATTTGCGCACACACCTGAACAAGTCAGTTTGTTTCGTTTCTGTGCGCACTTGACTTTGAACTGTATGGGATTCGGTTTTTCTGCCAAGTTACAAGATTCAGGCTGATTCGATAGCGCCAATTCGCTTTGGTTTTCCGACAGCAACATTTCTTCGGATTAAGCTAGTCTTATCCTAACAATGCAAATAGATACGTCCACCGATCTGGGCTAAGTACTGCGTCCAATATCCAAACTGCGTTTGTACATCTGTCGCCACAAGCATTTTTCATGGTCAGTGTTGCAGAATTCAGTCTTTCAGGGACACGCGTTTATTCCGCAAAATTAACTCAGAAAACATTACAGGACGTTAGTCGAGCGAGACTTCTCCATCTGACTTGTCCGTTCATATCCAGAACTAACGACCCTTGTGAGCCGATGAGTTTCTTCTTTGACACAGTTAACCAAACGATGGGTAACCCACACGAACGTCGGGTAATCAGTGTCCAGTGTTTGAATCCGTTACGTGCATGTCCCATTGGTTGTCTAGCTCGCTCGTTTGATCCATCCGTTCACTCTGGTATGACACTTTCTTCACACTCGGTATGTTAGGTGACCGTCGAGTCAGCCACATAGATAACTTCGCGTAACACAGTTAGCGTCTGTGTGATACCGTGAACCCATTGATACCGTATCTACGGTTCTTTAGAGTGGACTTTATTAGGAATGAACTTTTGACTAAAAATGGATATAATGCTGAGAACTCCTACTAGGACCGGAAACAATTTGCTTTCAGTTTCTTTGCACTGAATGCAACACGCAATCAGTCACAGTGTTTGTCATTGGGCCTTAGTCTACTCAAATTCATTTCTCTGTGTTGCAACTTGAAAGTGCTGGGAGTTAAGGGCAGTCATTTCAATGGGCAGTCTTTCAACGCTAATCGTCCGGTTCTGAGTGGAGAGTTTCGGTGTTGTTTTCTCCTACTACTGCAGTGCTGGGAAAGAGCAACATCAAAACACTATTCGTGTGGTCGGAATGGTCGCAACTCCGACACCCTATGGGTACTTTGCAAACCCAACAATCGTTCATATTTATTTGCCTCGCAATGATGTTATTGCACAGGCTCTGTAAGCTTCGCATCCACCATTATCCTATTCAGTGGCGTGTCATGTGACCAGTTTATTCGTTTGGTAAGGGAAAGGTTTGAGGAATGTAAATGCCAATAGTGATCTTATTCGCTGGAGTTAGTTAGACGGGGGCCGAGAACCGCTACTAATTTTCAAGGCACATTTGCAGTCCGAGCCAGAAGCGCAAGCAAGCAAGAAAAGCATGTTGCTTTACTGTCTCTCCATTTATAACATTTGTTTTCACATTAAAAGAGGCCGCCAAATGAAACTGCGGCGAAGTGGCCATCATAATTGCCATAAAAATAAAATTGTATCGGTACTGATCTGTATGAATGTAGCTCACACTGGAACGTGGCCAGATTGCGCTGAAGTGCCTATCTTAATCGAATACTGCAATTAGAGAGCGTGAAGATATAAATCTATCTTGCTCCGTCGTAAGTAGATCGGACACCTGCACAGAATCACATCACGGATCTTGCGCCGTGACAGCATATAGCTGCACTACATCTTATCCGGGTGTAATTCGTTCCCTATACCTGTAATCTGCAAAGTGGGCGTCGAGGACTGTCTTAAATTCCGACACCAATTTCGCCACAACTATTGTCCCAGCAACTTGTTCCAATCTTTCACCACTGGACGGTCGAAGCATAGAATGTGAGCGATACGCTTCAACTCCGGTACTACCAGTTTGTACCCTTGTCCGCGTGTGCTGTTTGGTACGCGAACGTGCAGCAACGACCTCAACATAGGGAAGTGGATCAGCTGTAATCTCCGGTGCGTTATTTTGAGATTAACTCGCAGCCGGCGATATGAAAATGTATACAGCCCTAATCTCTTACATTGGTCCTCGTACAACATACCCTCGTATTCTGCGGATGAGCCGGGTAGCTACATGCTGAACTCATTCCAGTCACTGCAGCTCACCTATTATGATCGGATAGTAGGCGAGTGAGCCGTACTCAGGCATCGGTCTTATCATGCAAGAGAACAGTCGAGTGGCAATCTCTACAGACCAAGTACAGAAGCTGCATCTAAGTGCCCAAATCAGGTGTAGTCCGTTTCCGTGCAGACTGTTCGTGTTACTGACGGACCTCAGATCACAGCGTGAGATTACTCCTAGATTCTATACGGAGTTTGTGAGATGTAGCGGTTGGCAAGGTTGCCCGATATCGTTATTCTCCCTTAACTTCGCCACAGACGAAGTCGTTGAAACGTTATACCCTCGGCACTTGAGTAGTGACAATTACCTTATGGCTGGCAAATGTCAGGTTGAGATATTTTAAATGCTCCATATTGCTCGCTGGATTTTACATAATACACCGCTGATGTAAGCGTACTTAACAAACAGCCTGGCATTAGTACTGCCAGAAAATTATTTAATAGAATCTGTATAATTTGATGCAATATTGCATCATTATAATGCCCAAACGTTGAAACTGAACTACATGACAAATCTTTATGATCATGTTCCTCTTCATCATAACGCACTAGATATTAATTCTTGGTTACCCCATGTTGAGGCCGCTGCTCCATATGCACTCAGCACGCGATAACACTGATACAAGCTTATCATACTTGATTTGAAGCGGGTCGCCCACCAACTCTGTTTCGAACGGAGAGTGGTGGATTTGTGGAACAACCTGCGGCGGCACGTAGTCGAAGCAGAGTCGGTGTCATATTCAAGAAATTCCTGGACATGCACTTTGCCGATATGCAATTTTTCGAATGCTCCCCAACATAACAGGTCTTTTTAGCTGAATTTACATGTAGCCACAAAAAGACACATTTTCTTGCTGCTTCCATTCAATATTCATCACATCAAATGACAACAGGTTAGGGTATTTTTAAGTCAGTAGCAATTTCATTGCTGTTGAGCGTGATTACCACGCGTAAGAGGCTCCTGCGTCGTGCAAAGCAGTCGAGAATCTATTCCACTCAAACTCAGTATGCTTAGAGCGAAACTTCGGTACGCAGGGCATCTTGGTACGCTTAGCTGACCGAGAGGTAAATAACTTCTCAGGTACCACCAATAGCGGAGACGTTTGGTACGCCTCCCGGTAAAGATCATGGATTCACGACAGCGTACCAATGCATGATCAAGTAGATGCGGACATTACAGAACGAGCGACACTCAGGATTGTACCGTACCACGTGTCACTTATGGCATCATGATCCATTTGAGTCCACTGCAGGCCACACAGTGACGCTAAGTGACACTTCGGCGCCCAGTTGTTTAATAGCGATGCTACTAAGAAACAGCCAGTACTAGGTCCTCTGAAGTCCTACCTACACATTTATATCCCCTGCTGCCTTAGTGAACTGACCACAGGTCACTTCGGCGGAGATGTACGTCACCGGACGCGTCCCCAGTTTGCGGATCAGGTAACGTCTTCCTTGCGAAGGTAACTGAATAAGTCTCGGTTGTACGCAGGGGAGAAAAATAAGCATTCGCGAACAATCAGCAACAGCGTCCTAGAGCGTAAGAGGTTCTGGGTTGGTCACCTGGTTCCTCACTAATTTCAACAAGAGATCGTAAGACGCTGTGTCAAAGTCAATGTGACTGGCTATAGTGTCACTGCGACCAGAAGCCAGTATTCAACGGAGGGCGGATGAACAACCTGGATGGGCACCAGCTTCTACGAAGGTGCATGAGCCACCTGGCTGTCAACAACCTTCCTACTCTTCTGCATTTTGGGTGGTCCAGGAAATTTCGCCAGGTCACCGTGTTGCTTCATTCGGGCTTTTTGGACATCCCAAATACTTTATTCCTACTCGAAAGCCGTGTTATCATCATCGTGTAGCCAGTTCCCAATGGTATGTGATGTAAAGTCAAACCCGCTTTATTGCCCACCCGGTTTATGGCCCACCTCGCTTTATTGTCCAGTTTTTCAACATACAAATTCTTTTCTGATAAATAGGCTGAATTTTCACCGTCTACTTGCCCACTACCGGGGTCGTCCCATCGCTTAATTGCCCAGCCGCTTGGGCTGTGCTTTTGTCGCTTTGTCAATTTTACGCCGTTTTTTTATCAAGATTGCCCCACAGTTAGCCAGTCCGATCGAGTCAAGAACAACAAAGATGTCAGCGGCGTTATTGACAGATCAGAAAATGTTATCTATGTCATTCAATACGAGAGCAAGCTAAATGTGCCGACGGGTGTGGACAAGCCCTCGCCCCTATTCAAAACTCGAGAACTGAGCAAAGTCGGGTACACTTTCCGCACCACCTTTGGTCACCACTCTATTGGTTACACATAAATATGCCAAGTGACAGAAAGGATTTGCTCTTGACAGAAAAGTTGGGCGTCTTGAACAAATTAAAACGTATCTACCAGTAATCTCGCAGGTCAAGATATCGCGTGATTCGCACATTTCTTGTCCTACCCTAGCCAGATTGATTGCCAGTGAAAAGGAACTGCGGCAGAATTTGTCGCATGGCACTGCAAGCATAACGCTTCTTTCTCTCTGCCACGGACAACTGCTGTACTGCTACTAGCTGCCCTATGGGCCTGCGACCTTCTGACTACTATGTCACGCGCCCAGCCAACCAAAGGAATACAAAAGGCAAGAACTCGGTAAACAGAGAGTGTATATCTACAGGCTAGGTTAA